CGAAACATGTTGCTGTGTATGTGTTTGTGGGCATGTGGTGTGTATGTGTGTTGTGTGTCTGGGTGTGGAAACAGAGATGTATGAATTTGAAGCATCTTTTATGTTAGCAGACATTTCATCCTCACTACACATTCAGTCATTCAGTCCATAAGACACAGCCACCTCCTCTATATTTGTCTCTGTGTGTGCCGACTGATGACACTTTCTCTTGCTGGTTTCACCTCTTTGAGTCCATAAATCTGGACCATTATTCCAAGCACTCTTATGCCTTTCCATTTATGTGAAGTTCCAGTACAGCTCTTGCAGATCATGCTGATTTCTGGAGAGTGAAAGAGAAACTATAAAACATAGTCCCTGTGAGAAGACATTTCATGACTGGGTCAGGAGGAATCAAACACACTGTGACAATGGGAAAGATGAAAGAAAAGAGAAGCCGAGGGATACCACGATAGAACAAGCTGGACAATTTGGCATCACTGTATGTAGGATCATCTGTGTCAGAAATTACTGAAAGTGTAAAAGGCAGACAGTTGTGGAAAGACATGAAGATATGGATAAAAATAATCACAATTCCAATGCAATACTGCATGCACTAAAAGAAGAAAAAGGTGTAAGAGGAAGCAAACATGATGATAGGCTTGATGACAGGGGTTCTGTAGAAGTGGGCAAGCATTACCTCAGGCTGATACACCAAATGCTTTATGAGAAGTGGGGCACTCATGCAAATGAAAAGATAAAGGAATCAGCACTATTGACAAGACAGCAAGAACAGGACAAAACTAAGGGAGTAAAGTCAGAAGATAGAATTGTTATTGGGAAGCCAAAGAATTGAAAAACTATACAGAATTGTTGTCATCAGTTGCTACACATTGTTGACTCACAGTGAGGATGATTTGTCAGCTAGCGTCAGTGCATGGAACACAAAAAGTTAAATCAGGCCGTTCTCCAGAGAATTCACCTAAACGAATCAAACTGATTATTGCTGCAATGCGGGCAAAAAAAGATTTGTATCAATATGATTAACTGTTAACTTTATATTATGTATGACTCTTTAAAAAAAAAAACTATTTAGAATTGTTTGTTGTTATTGATAATTGTGTTGATGAATACAAGGCACAAGTGAAAATGACAAATATTTTATTTTAAATCAGTATTTAATAGACAAGACATTGTTTTTTTAAACCGAGGAATGTTAGCATATCACAGATTACAACTAATCTGTAAGTTAATGTGGCAGAAGGGACATTTAATCACATGAAATATAAATCTGGATGGCATATTTAAAAAAAAACAAATGTTTACAAATATGTTAAGAAAAAAAAATTTTTTAAACATGATTTTGTTCTCTTGGACAAAGTGAGAAAAAAAAAAAACTCTTCATCAGTGCTGCTCTCCACAATACTAAACTTTTGTTTGTTTGTTTGTGTTTTGCTTGTAAAGTAAAAGTGTCCTCTGTATTGTTGGCATCATTCCAACTTTCCAGATGATAGAGAGTTCCATTATGCTATAAAGAGGCAGAGATATCACAGCTCATCATGATGGTGAGTGTGATGGGCAAGACCAGATCACTTAATCTTTCACAATTTCAGAAGCTCAGTTCTTAATCTTTCCACAATTATATTCTCTATGTGAAATTTAAAAAAAAAAAGGACTGTATGTTTTACAACAGGCAAATTAATATTACAAGGAATAAGTATTTAAACATACACAATGGAATTAATATAGTAAATAAGCGAATACAAAGCACAAATATATATAACACATTCTCTATAAGCATGTCATTAATGCATATAAGAATGCTGTTAGACTTGTATCTTTGCCAATTTGTTCACGTCAGTTAATTACAGAGACCAACACTAAAAGCATTTTTAATAAGCCACAAAAACTTACAGATCCCAAATAAAGTTTTGTCAATAAGCCATGGAAACTTACAGATCCCAAATAGACCACTTCAGTAAGGCAAGATAACTTATAGCATCTAATAGGATAACTGTCAATAAAGCTAGTGTACTTACTACCATAAATGGGTTCATAAACAATAAATCTTCAAGCCCAAACTGGCTATATAAACACAACAGTAGATCAGTTAGGCCGGTGACAATGCCAAAGAATAGATATTTTTAAAACTGGTTAACTCCATATACACATATATGAAAAAAAAAATCAACTCACATTCCCTTTGGCAACAATTTAAATAACAAAATTAATAAGCTTTTCAATAATATGGTATATCAAGATTTAAAATATTCTTTAATTACTTTAAATATTTGTTTATAAAACTAGCAAACAGTTTTGATAAGCAAACAGTTTTTATAGATGAGGTCTTAAATGTTTCAGTTGCAGGCTTATGGAAGAAGAACATGAGGGGAAAAAACTTGTGCAATAATCAAAAAAACATTATTTTCAAAGAATTTGTTTTAGTTCATTCTGACCTAATGGGAAAAATCTAGAGCAGCGATTCTCAACCTGCTGGTCATGACTCTTTTTTAAGTCGAACGACCCTTTCACAGGGGTCTCCTAAGACCATTAGAAAAAATATATTAATTGAAGTTATAAAGAAAAATAATTGTTTGGGGGTCGCCACAAAATAAGGGAACGTTATTAAAGGGTTACTGGCATTAGGAAAGTTGAGAGCTAATGATCTAGAGAAAACTTCACAGGAAGACCGATTCAAAGGGAAATCCCTCATACATCACACATGGCTTAGAACTGGGAAAATTAACTAATCTTAGTGGTATCGTATGCACACTTAGTTTAGAGTTCTAGAGTTTGGCACATCCATAAATAATTACAGTTATTGTGAATATGTTTGTCCTTCAGTTGCAACCATGTCGCCCATTGGCTGGCCAGTAGATTGCCACATCGTGGGTTGGGACAGTATTTGGGTCTGTCTTCTCTGATCGCATCAATACTGCAAGAGTCCTTTTCTGGGCTACTTGGTGGTGAGCGCTATTAGACCATTCTTTATTGTGCAAATAACCCAGTCACAATTATAACCAAAAGCTCCCTCTTTAGGCATGCTGTGCTGGTTGAAGGGACAATTTTTGGGAGGTGCTAAAATCGGATCGGAACATGTCTGTCCCAGTGTGGCAGGAAATTTTTCATTTTCATTTTCCCGGCTTAGCTTTAGTTGGGGCCCTAATATAACCCAATGGTTGAATGGGGTTGCTGGGACTTGTACCCGGGTGATCCTCATCCAGATATGTCACTGGGTGTTGGTTGCTGGTTGTATGGTCTTGGTGGGGTTAAATGACATACATGACATGTTTGTATGTACAAGTGTTTTACAAACTGTCACCTTTACTCAAGCAGAAATACACTAGTGTAGACTACTTTTTGTCTTGTTTGATCTTTTCAGGACAGAACAAAAGAGAAGTTAATAACTAGGTGACAAATTATATATTTCTCACGACATTCTGCTACTACCACTTTCTAAGTGATGAAATAACAAGAATAACAAAAACTTGTTATATATTTAATGAAATGCTTGAGACATGTTTTTGCTGAAACTCCTTGAAAATACAGAGCAGACACGAAGACAGAAAAACCTCAGTACCAATCTTCACATTTCAATTTAAAAGAGATGACAAAAAAAGGAGTTAGTACAAATGGGAAGAATGAAGCACTGTCAATGACCACGTACTGCCTTTCATAAAAACAAACAACAAACATGTAGATTCTATTTGACAGAAGATCCATAAAGTTAGCTCTCCTTTGTGCTTAATGAAAGATGTGAACAATAAACAAATAGACAATAGACAGACAGCAAAAAGACAAACAGTCGAGCAGATAAACATTTCTATTCTGTAAAAGTATAATGAAATTATGGTACATGTGATATACAATTTTTCAAACAAGTAAATGAACATACAGACAGATATTCTATTTATGATAACTTGATACAGACAATAAAATATGACATACATTCAATATATGCTACTTGTAAACTTATAGGTATAAAAACAGTAATACTTAAAAAAAACAGAGAAAGGATTACAAAAATCAACGGCTAGGACTATGATGGAATGTCACTGTAACAAGTTATGTAAATTCTAACACAAGACTGAAAAAAAATATATTTTATACAGCTATTGAAAGAAAATGAAAAAACTTTTGAACCTCAAATACAAAGGTACAGAAAAATGGAGAGTTCACAATGAAGAAAATCATGCTAACCAGGGACCAGTAACAAATACACCTCTGCTAGGACCAACATTTTCTTCATGTTAATTTAGTATTCATCTTGAGTGAGTTCTCGTATTAACAAGGTTTTACTGCATACACTAAGAATGTTTTGAAAAAAAAATTAAAAAGTTAAAACATAAACAGAAGCTGATGCAGCCATTGAAAAATTAACCAATAAACTTGCTGTAAATTGTGCTTTTAACATGTACTTAGATTCTAACAAATATCAAATTTTAAAAAAGCCACACAGATTAAGGAATTTTTTTAAAGAAAAAAAACTATTTGATTGAACAACAAATTCACAGATGCAGATAAAGATCAAATAAAACCAACAGCAAGTTTGAAATTAAAGTAAGTCAAAGGGAAATAAATAGGAAATAAATGTAACTATCTGAAGAAAGAAAAAAAAAAAAATGCCCTTTAACAGAACAAAGCAGGCAATGACATTTATCAGGAAACCAATCTAAACAAAAGAAAAGAAGAAACAGACAAATTAAACAAAGGTGACTTCCCTGTTTTCAGCTAAAACAAGGATAGATAAAAACAGAAACAATATGAATAAACAGTTTTTAACATTATTTACACTGAATATATAGATATGATAGAAATGAATGATTCATACATTCATTTACCTTCTGAAATAATTCAAATGATTATGCCTGTAATACATCATTATCATGGGTATAGCTTTGTCACAAGATTATAGGCCAGCACTGATTAATTTCACAGCAGGCAGAACATTTCTATGATTAATAATGTTCTTCCTCCTGTTGGAACATGCATTCAAATATTCAGTGTTAATGCTAATTCTCTCGTTAGTATTTAGATGACTGATCATAATTTGGAGGTATTTCTTGAGGTGGTGCGCTGGGAGAAGATGTTCCTGCACCCCCTGATGTCCCGCCACTCTTTGTGAATGAAAGCTTTCCTGCGCGCAAAATATAAACAACACCAACAACACTAAGAATAATCCACAAGATAGTGCCGATCCAAGCTCCAGCCTGCAAGAGAGATTAAACATCATAATTAACGTCTGCTTGTCTAGAAAAAAAAAACTGCACAACAGAACTCATATACTGACTGACTCTTGCCTGCCATCTAATGGTCTTGGGTTCAAACCCACATGATGTAGATTATTTAAAATGTATTTCCGTTCAGTATGGCAGATAAATAGGTTTACTGTTTTTTGACATGGCAAGTTTTTTTCTTATGAAAATACTTATCCACTGCATTTTCCTCCATAATTAGACTGAAAGGATATAGTTCTGTCACCAAGCCACTGAGCTGAGTGCATGGCATGACACTCAGAGATGTGGATTTCACTTAGAAGGCTTTTTGACTGTGGTTTGTGTTGTGAACTGCAGATTCAGTAAAATGGCAAGAAGCCTGTTTGCCAGATATAAGTAGTGGTGCGTTATGCAATTAATTGCGTGAGCAGTTACTGATCTGTTGTAACTGCTGTTTCCACTGACAAGGAATGCATTTCTAGTATTCAACTGTTTGAGTTGGCACTTTAGATGGCTGCCTTGTGCATTTAATGTGTGTGTATGCTATTGGCTTCCTGAGGCTGCAGTCTGCTTCAAATTCTCACATTAGACAATATCTGGCTACGCAGTTGGAACTGTGGTTACCAGAATAAAATTTACCTAGGGCTGCCAGGCTGACCCAGTCCAGACTGGTCACCAGAACCTGTTCAGGGAAGGTGGTCAGCAGGATATTGACCACATCACCCATCAAGTGATGACCAGCTGATTACAAATATGCCTCTAGTACCATGTGCCAGCAATATGAAAAGAGCCCTTATCTTCCCTTGTGGGTTCTGGGTTCCTATTCTGGGCTGTCAAAAACAGACCAGCAGCTCCACTAACAAGCAAGCATGTCATAAAGTCGACTGATTAGAGGTGTTTTCTTTGAAGTCAAAATGCATCTGCCTGAGAGGCGAGGAACCAACAGTCTGCATACAAAAAAAGCCGGATCTGTAAAATGAACGTTCACAAAAAACCCTTGTTCTGAAAGAAGACTAAAGTGTAGAAGTGGACAAACAACTAGAATTGTCCACTGGAGTTTACAGCTGGTGAAAAAGAAGAAGAAGAAGATAAGGAGATCCTTTAATTGTTTTGTTGTTGTTGTTGTAAACTCACTGCCCATCTTCTTCCTTACCAATATCTGATGGTTTGTCACCACAGCAGTCTGGATGTCAATCCAACATCAATATATACTGGATACCCAGTTCAGTCTTATGAAATTGTAAATAACTGGACTTCATGACTACATCAAGTACTACATGGATGTAACCCACTGTCTCGGGTGGTTGAGAGATCATCAGCCTACAATCCACTTACTAAATCATTTCAAAGTTTGTTTGGCTTGTAAACAGACCACTGTTCACAAGTAAACTAATCTAAAAATCTATGTGTTGGTTCAATTTACCTACTAATCTATGGGTTGGTTTCTTTATAAAGAATCACAATGAACAAGTGAATTTGCCTACTTAATTTGTCTACTACGAGCTGGTTTAATTTACAAAAAATCATCACTGACAAGTGAATTCACCTACACATTTTTGAGATTGTTTAATTTACAAAGAATCATCACTGACAAGTGAATTCACCTACTTAACTATGAATTGGTTTAATTTATAAAGAATCACTATACGAGGTAAATTTGTCTATTAATCGGTAATCAACTTGGCATTTGGTACCCAGTCAGCAGTACTGGACACACAATGGACCGCCCCAGGCGATCATGGGAGTGACCATCTGCCATGCTCCGTTAGATTCCTAAGGCTGGCAAGAACAGGATTATTAGAACACATAGGACTTTTTAGTATGAGAGAGCTAACACTCTTCTTGGAATCCTTGAACAGTAGGTATGCAACAGTTATGGCTGTGAATCCTGGACAATCGGTAGGCAGGCCAAAACATTTTTAGAGGCCTCAGAGATGTGGTTTTACAGAAGAATGCTTAGAATACCTTGGACAGCCCTTTAAAAAGAGCAACCAAGAGGTTTTAAGTATGAAAAGAGGCTTGGAGCCCAGAAGACAACCACACTTATCACTATGACATCAGAAGGAGACATCATTTTTCGGCCATGTTTAACAGAAGGTATGGGAAATAGAACATTTTAAGTATGAAAGCTAACACATGGAAAGATCTGTGGAAGGAGGGACAAAGGATGAGACAACAAGAGAAGATGGAGTCCTTTACAGTCTTGCTACCACACTTTGTAAGGAGGTGAGCTGTCGGCACACTTTAAACAGATATGGCAACAGTACCACACTTTTAAGTGAGAGCTAACACCCTTCTTGAGATTGAAGGTATGCAACAGTACCACACTTTTAAGTTGAAAGAGCTAACACCCTTCTTGGATGCCTTTAACAGAAGGTATGCAACAGTACCACACTTTTAAGTTGAAAGAGCTAACACCCTTCTTGGAGTCCTTTAACAGAAGGTATGCAACAGTACCACACTTTTAAGTATGAGAGAGCTAACACTCTTCTTGGATGCCTTTAACAGAAGGTATGCAACAGTACCACACTTTTAAGTATGAGAGAGCTAACACCCTTCTTAGAGTCCTTTAACAGAAGGTATGCAACAGTACCACACTTTTAAGTTGAAAGAGCTAACACCCTTCTTGGATGCCTTTAACAGAAGGTATGCAACAGTACCACACTTTTAAGTTGAAAGAGCTAACACCCTTCTTGGAATCCTTGAATAGTAGGTATGCAACAGTACCACACTTTTAAGTTGAAAGAGCTAACACCCTTCTTGGATGCCTTCAACAGAAGCAACAGTACCACACTTTTAAGTATGAGAGAGCTAACACCCTTCTTGGATGCCTTTAACAGTAGGTATGCAACAGTACCACACTTTTAAGTATGAGAGAGCTAACACCCTTCTTGGAGTCCTTTAACAGAAGGTATGCAACAGTACCACACTTTTAAGTATGAGAGAGCTAACACCCTTCTTGGAGTCCTTTAACAGAAGGTATGCAACAGTACCACACTTTTAAGTATGAGAGAGCTAACACCCTTCTTGGAGTCCTTTAACAGAAGGTATGCAACAGTACCACACTTTTAAGTATGAGAGAGCTAACACCTTTCTTGGAATCCTTCAAAAGAAGGTATGCAACAGTACCACACTTTTAAGTATGAAAGAGCTAACACCCTACTTGGAGTCCTTTAACAGAAGGTATGCAACAGTACCACACTTTTAAGTATGAGAGAGCTAACACCCTACTTGGATGCCTTCAACAGTAGGTATGCAACAGTACCACCAGCTGTTTTTTGGGAAGTCTCCATGGTGAGCACCGGAAGTTGAACAGGCAAAGACAGCAGCAGTTAAACAATTGCAGAAAGTCAGAAGACAAAAAGGTTAGAGGAGCATGTAAAGAAGGTTAAAAGGGTTAGAAAAGATAAAGTAGAAGAGTTCAAGGGCTGTTTAGCAGAGAGAAAGAGAGAGACACACCCACACAGACACACAAACAAACAAATAAACAAACAAATCTAAATGGAAGCATTTTCTGAATGAAACTGGAGGGGATAAGCCACTAGGAAACTTCTGGAAATTATACTGACAAATGCAAAACAATAACATACAGTAGGATACTCGTTAGAAGTTTGAACCTGAGCAGCTTTACAATTGAATTCTCAGTGAAGAGATGTTTGAACCACTTTTTGTCATGTTGGACCTTCAGAAGAGGCAAATCTGAACCTGAGCTTGTCATTTAGTAGGACATCCAGCCAGTGGACTTCAGTATGTTCCTAATGAGTATTTGATGTACACCATCACCAATGCCCTATGGATGGGTTGACAAGTGCCAAAGGATTTCTGGACACTGCATCTCTGGGAGCCACTTTCTCCAAGATCCCCCTTGGACACTGCATCTCTGGGAGCCACTTTCTCCAAGATCCCCCTTGGACACTGCATCTCTGGGAGCCACTTTCTCCAAGATCCCCCTTGGACACTGCATCTCTGGGATCCCCCTTGGACACTGCATCTCTGGGAGCCACTTTCTCCAAGACCCCCTCGGACACTGCATCTCTGGGAGCCACTTTCTCCAAGATCCCCCTTGGACACTGCATCTCTGGGAGCCACTTTCTCCAAGATCCCCCTTGGACACTGCATCTCTGGGAGCCACTTTCTCCAAGATCCCCCTTGGACACTGCATCTCTGGGAGCCACTTTCTCCAAGATCCCCCTTGGACACTGCATCTCTGGGAGCCACTTTCTCCAAGATCCCCCTTGGACACTGCATCTCTGGAAGCCACTTTCTCCAAGATCCCCCTTGGACACTGCATCTCTGGGAGCCACTTTCTCCAAGATCCCCCTTGGACACTGCATCTCTGGGAGCCACTTTCTCCAAGATCCCCCTTGGACACTGCATCTCTGGGAGCCACTTTCTCCAAGATCCCCCTTGGACACTGCATCTCTGGGAGCCACTTTCTCCAAGATCCCCCTTGGACACTGCATCTCTGGGAGCCACTTTCTCCAAGATCCTACTTGGACACTGCATCTCTGGGTGCCACTTTCTCCAAGACCCCCTGCCAGCATGGTCTAGGCCGATACAGGCCATTATCTGTAACACATGAGGAGCCAAAAACTCTTTTCAGGGCCTGCTGGTGCTTGAGGGATACAGAGTATTTCCTTGTGCACAGTCACATGACCTGAACTCTCCTTGAAACCTGTGGCCAAAAAAATCCATGTGCCCCGTTCTGTGATCGAATATAACTAGTTGCAAAAAAAAAATAGCACTCCGACACACCTCCATGCCAAGCAACAAGACTGTCAAGCATCTTCTCTCGTTGTCTTCCTCTATCCCTTTTTCTACAGATCTTTCCAGTGGTCACAACATGTTCTATTTTCCCTCTTCTCATAACATGGCCGAAAAATGATGAATGTCTCCTTCTGATGTCAGTGATAAGTTGTCTTCGGGCTACCGCCTCTTTTAAAACCTCTTGGTTGCTCTTTTTGGCTGTCTAAGGTATTCTAAGCATTCTTCTGTAAAACCACAGTACTGAGGCCTCTAAAAATTGTTTGGCCTGCCTACCGATACATTAGCCTTCTAAACTATAACAGAAATTTACTTACCTGCGCAATATCTACAGAAGTCTTGGATGACCCCCTGAAAATGAAAAAGGAAAGAGTAATTAATTTTCTTAACACAATAGAAAACTGACATAACTATTATTTTAGACAACAAAACTTATAAAAGGAAAGCTAATAAAATTCTTAGACTTTAGAAAGTAAGCTCTGTAATTGTATATCTCTGGAATATTATTAGTGTAAAAATATATGCAATTATAAAAACTGACAATTGCAGCGGGAAAAACAGGAGTGTTCAAGTACTCTCTGGACCCATTGATGTCATCTGCATGTAAGGCATGGACAATAGTCAGATAAGTCACACACAAATACAAGCTGCAAGCATTGATGTCATCTGCAAGTAAGGCATGGACAATAGTCACATAAGTCACACACAAATACAAGCTGCAAGCAATGTTGTCATCTGCACGTGAGGCATGGACAATAGTCACATAAGTCACACACAAATACAAGCTGCAAGCATTGATGTCATCTGCAAGTAAGGCATGGACAATAGTCAGATAAGTCACACACAAATACAAGCTGCAAGCATTGATGTGGTTTTTGAGAAATATGCAAAGAATATTAGAGAATGATTCAAAAACAAATGAGGCAGTCATTGCTGAGACACAAGAATCAACATCACAACACTTGGGAGACTCCCATATGTTATCCATCCTTGCTGAGACACAAGAATCAACATCACAACACTTGGCAGACTCCCATATGTTATCCATCCTTATCTTCAGCAGGCAGTAAAGAGCTCCAGTTCTGACAGTATCAGCAGCAGTGCTCAGATGGACACACACAAAGACTAGAAACTGATTAGAGAAATTAGACAGAGGCAGTCAACACAGTCTGGACATATTAGAAAGAACAGACTCTACTAGAACTTCATAGCAATTAGTGAGATTGGTGGCGGGAACAAGGAAGCAGGGGGAAACAAAAAGACATACCTGGATAGTTCAGTGACATAGATGTTGCGTTAAAAGGACATGTAGATAATCTGTGATTTTGTTGACAGTGTGGGGTGGTGAACAATAATGTTTAAAGGCAGGGGATATGACAATGAAAATTACTAGTCTTTTTTAATGACTGTATTTTTTTGTGTGAAAATATTGCTGTTCCTACTTTGGTAATCACTGTCTGTGAAGTTAGTGCAATATATGCTGCTATGGCGTGCCTTATTTTTGGTCTATTTTTCTTGATTACAGCTCTGTTCACTGTCAATTCTACTGGTAAATTGATAACAGTTTTAGGATGAGGTACTTGATTATCATAAATGGCATCACAAATTGTTGAACCACATTCAAATACCTGCCACTGTAAAGGAACACATGCTCAATTATAAATACTCTTTTCTCAACAGTTAACACCATTTTAGCTAAGATCAGTTATTAAAATATTGGTTTAATATAGCAGTGATATTCTAAGCAATGGCTACGTGGCGCTTGAAACATGAGGTAATATATTTACATTTAATTATGGTGTGCAAATAATTGATTTAAAACAGACTACAGACATTAAAAAACATCCTATATGTAGCATTGTTGCTGAATCTAGATTCACCTTGGTAAAGATTCAATATCACAGCATTCAGGGTAAGCCCATATTAAATCTTTTCCTTATCAGCCAGCCAAGAGCCTCCGTATTGATTTTACCTGCTGTCAGTTGATTAACCTACTTGTCTTGCCTTTCCCCTGAATCAAAAGTGGCTCCAAAGCAGTTTTTAGCTCAACTCCTGCTTTTCTCATTTTTGCTTCTTTCATTTCTTATTTCTTTCCTTCTTTCTCTGCCTCTTCTTCTTCCAAAATTCTTGCTATCATAATTTGAAGTTTCTTTTCTCTTCATGGTGTGTTGCGAAATGAACAGGCGGGTAGACTGGCTGGCTCTGCACAGCTTGGTGGTGTACTGATACATGATAGGGCAGACGTGGTTAGTGCCTTGTGGGAGAGCGTGTACAGTTCGGAGGAGCAGATGGATCACCACAGTCTGGTGAGACTGATGCAGCGGGTAGTGACGAGTGGTTTTGGCAGATGCTCAAGGCTCAGAGGAAAGACAAGACGAACATTTAATCAGAATGCTACAGCACCATTATTATCGGAACTCTGTACTGGCTGCTGAAGATTGGATGGAGCGCTTATGGGAATGCCCCGAGTGCTGTGGTGTCAGATCTTGAATCAGCTCAACTCAACTCTCTCTTCATCATTCCTGTTTCTTCTTCCTGTAGCTTCTCTACACTTCACTCCTGCTTCTTCTACTTCTTTTGCTGTTTTCTGCATCATTCCTCAATCTATTCCTCTTTCTCTTTGCCTCCTCTTTCTTCTTCTCTTCCTCCATCTTTTCTCCTTCACTTTCCTCTTCCTCCTACTTCCTTTATATGACGTGTGTCTTTTTCTTCCTCCTATTCTTTGTCCCTATTTATTCTGCTACTTCTTTCTCAACTCTTTTCTTCTTTCTTTCTTTTTCTCATTGTTCTCTCTTTTTTCTTCGATACTTTTTTTTTCATTTTCCTTCCTTTTCTTCCTCCCTATATCTCATTTGTCCTCCTTTTTATGCTGGTTTTTCTTACAGCTCTTCTTCCATGAGCTTTTATAGCTTTTTATACTTGTAAATACTAATTTCTATATCCCTGTAACACTGCTGATAATAATTCAGTCAGTGACATTTGGAACCTCAAAAGATAATTTCGTGCCTATCTCCATTCTCCCCAAATTCAACTTTGAAAATACAGTTTTTTCGTTGCCTCTTCCCCCCTTCCCCCCGACAATTATTGTATATGAATCATTTCATAAACAATAGAAACATTACAAAATGTAGCATTACCAAAAGTACTGGGAGGAGCCAGTGAAGCCTGCAGATAAAATACAAGCTCCAATGAATGTCAGAATACAAGCAATCACATCGAGCAGCACGTAAACCAGTTCCAGAATGTTGGAGAAAACAAACATCCTGTGAAATAAAGAACAAGAGAAAGAAATATCAACATTATCCTTTGGTTACTTAAACAGATCAGATTATTTACTCTCTGAGTCCCAGGGAACTTATCATGCGTTACTTTGATTTAACTGCGCGGCCCAATCAATTGTCACAAGTGAAGGTTTTTAATCTACCACTGACCGGTTGTAAAACGCGCACCGCTCAAATTCAACTTCTTTTCGAGTTCTTTGTGTCTGATATCAGGCATGCTCATTTAGAAACGTGGTTTGCAAAGACGAAAATATTGTATATTTTGCAAGATTTGCCGAGTTAAAAAGTGTTTGTTTAAAAAAGAATATAGCCGCCAAGCAATATTCTACATGCATGGCAACATGATTTACGGTTTTGGAAGCCTCAAATTTAAAGTACGTGTTTATTCAATTTATCCGAAGTTTGATAGATAACGTTGCAAATTAGACGTGTTTCAGTCATTTATAGAGTCAAACTTTGATGAGGGATATACCTAATGTGTACCTCACGCAAAGGGTACAATGATAGCAAAGTCAGCTGGCAGAAATAGAATAAACATTAGTGAAAAGACGATTCTCTTCAGTGTCAGTTAGTTCTAGTCCTATTCCCTCTTATTATATAAGAACATAGCTACAAAATTACAGGCAAATTGAGTGTTATATAAACTTCTTTTTGTGTGAAGGTACTTATTGTTTTGGGAGTTTTCCTTACCAAATAATGGTGCTCTGTTATGATGCTTCAAAAAATTCTTTAGAACAAAATCTAATGTATAGATTGAGTTTATATTTTACTTATACATTACTAAGTGGTTCATATTCATTTGTGATTCATTTTGATTTTTTTTTTTAACCAGTTTTCCTTGAGTGCAATGGTGGTAAGTGGAAATTTTTCATTTTACTAATTTTTATAAACATACTGTCTGTTTATTTACAAATATTTAATTACTATCGCAATTATTTGTTGTAGCTGTATTCTATAATTACTCCTCAACAATCCCTGGTCGCTTTGATGTATAATATCTGTATTTTGGGCAGCAACTAAATTAGTATGGTCTGTTTTAATGTGTTACACTTGTAAAACTTAAAAAATTGCATTACAACCCCTTGGGCTTCTGATGCATAACCTCCTGGGGTGCAAAGAGTTAAATGTCCTTACATTTTGGGATGCCAACAGATATCTTTTTCAACAGGGCAACGACAGACCCCATTCTGCACAGTTGACCACACAGTTCCTGGCTGCCAATAACATTCAAACCCTTCCCTGGCCATCCCAGTCTACAGACATGAGTCCGGTTGAGCACCTGTGGGATGAGCGGCAAAGACATGTTTGTCGCCGGGACGTTGCTCCAGCCAGTGGTCGTGATCTGTTCCAGGCACTCCAGGAAGAGTAGGCAGCCATCCCACAGGCCCACATCATACATCTGATCGCATCCTTGCCCAGGAGATGCCAGTCACTGATCGACGCAAGAGGGGGCCACACACCAGACTAGCGGGAAAGGCCACACACTATACTAGCGGGAAAGGCCACACACCAGACTAACGGGAAAAGCCTACTCTTAAAAACTATCATGACCCAGATGCAAAAAAAAAAGGTGTCAATTGATTGGTGGAACCCTAAGGTATTCTTGTGTGAAATTTGAGTAGTTTCACTTACTGCATTACAAAGATGCAGAATGTCAAAATTGTGAGTATGTTTGTTCCTTTCAGTAACTATGGGTTTTTTTTTTTTTAACAGTATAAAATAAACAGCAGAAAGTAATTTTAGCTGTGTGTCTTTTGTTAGGCAAACTGCTGGAATTTTTCTAGGTATGGCTGACAATCAATTTTACTCTTTTATTTATCTGTTAGGAGTCTAGCTTTTCTACTCTACCTTTTCTGAACTATCTAAATACACATTCTCCCTGAAATAGTTCTTTGTGAGTATTCAGTTATCTCAGGAAGCAGGTAAACTACTACTATTTCTTGAATGTTTGTATTACATGTTTTTCAGTATGTTTTCATGTTCATAAAATAAGACTTGAATAATGTTATTTAATATAATGAATTTAAAATATTTTAAACATCACCAAAACAATGTGCAATGACTGTGGGGAATGATGCTCACATGTGCAGACATGTGGTGATGGCTTTGACAGCCCACCACGTGCTTAGTGAAACAGGGGATTGTAAAAGTAAAGTAAAGGACCCTTTTCCACGGCACAAGATTTAGGCATCACGCTAGCTACTTCCCGGGACATATAGGTCTAGGCACCAAGGTCATTTTTTGAAAAAGACCAATCAGCACATGGTGGGCGAGTGGTCTAGCATCCACCACGGTGACTCCCAACCGGCTGCCCTCTACTTATATAATGAACAATCACTGGAAATATAATATTTCTAGACAGCTGTACACACACAGTTTTGGGTCTTCAACATTTTCAGCAAATAACCTGTTACCACATGTCCAGGAAGAAACAATATCATCCAGTTATGAAGTCTGAGTGAAGAAGGACAACAGACTTAGGACTTCAACTATCATGGGTCTCTATGTAGGACATCCAGGGAGACAAACAAACAAAAAGACCTATAGACTGGACTGGAGAGAATGAATATGAGGAGGGGAGATGAGATGTGTTTTTATTAGAATATGCAAGTTTGGTGTAAGTCTGGATACTACACATATGTGCTTGTTTCCTTTATTACAGTTCCCATCAGAGGCAAGGATCAGTGAGCACATCATAAGCCGAGGGTCCAAGTGTACGAACCTAAATTGCCTGGGAGATCGGCAAGCTGGGGAAAGCTAAGCAGAGCCTCAAGGGAGAGCTCTCTGAGGTTTTATATTGTAGTACCACAATGTTATGTTCGGTATTTTCATAAACTTATCACCATTATAAAATCATCACACTAATCTCAGGTGCTCACTGCTCTAGCTGAAGCATCCCATGGCCACCAAACCGTTACTGTTTATTCAAATATATTAAGATGACAAATGTCATCTAAATGATTGCTAGCATAATAAATCAATATATCAGGGTTTATACTGCATCGTTTGTCAAATTCCTAAGTGTGTCTGTTCTTACATGCCTAACTAAAATGTGCAGTCTATATCTTCTCGTGTACCATACAGTTTTGTCTTCATTGTAGTTGGAACAGGCTAGATTGCATCTCTGTTGTCAGCATACAATTGACAGTGTTGGAGCATTTTCGGGTGCAAAGTTGCAGGGGCGTCTGCATGTTTCCTACACCAAAAAGTTTGAACATATGTTGGCAAAGTCTGTTGTGCCCTGTCCTTAGTTTGAATATAATACATTGTGCATCTCTAGAGAGGCAATGAAGCGAATCTTGAGGAAAGAATTTGGTGTGTGTATCCAGCCACCTTTCTTGGATACCAGATAGTAATAATGTCTTAGTCTCTTGGTGGGTTGTCACTATTTGGTTGTACCATGTCACTGCCACTTCTGGCCAATCTGTCCGCTATTTCATTGCCTTCCAAGCCACAGATACCTGAGATCGACTGCAGTACAGATTGTTCTGTTGAAGAACCTGAGTGAATCAGCTGCTGCATCAAGACTATAAACTGAGTGTTTTTTGGGTTAACAATTTCTTGTAGAACTGACATAGCATCAGTCAGAAAGACCACTCTCCTATATTTGCTGTGCTGTTGTCCACTCAGGAAAGAACATGCTACCAGAAGTGCATCTGCCTCTGTTCTTTAATTGGAGGAATATTAACCATCTGCCTGAATGAAACTCACCAGCTCTCCCCCCTTGTGCACTTTCATATTCAAGGAGTCACTTCCTGTTGCCATCTTCTTGCTGGACAGCCTCTGCCCCTCCTTCCTGGCACCATGCCTTCTGCTATTATTTTTCTCCAATCTGCCATGGGGCTTGATATGACCAAAATATTTCAGCTTTCGAGACAAGATACTATTTATTACATTTTAGAATATCAGTATTTCTTCTCTTCTTTGTCCTTGGTATTCTGAGAATTTTTCTATTTAATTTCAGCTCAAAAGCCCTAATTTTCTTCCTTAAGGACTGGGAGAAAGTCCACATGTTTATTGCTACAGGGAAAATTCATGTTCTCAAAATGTTAACTCTGATTCCCTTGCTGATACTCAGCCACAGACTTTTAATGCTGTTTAATCTTTGTATTACTATGGCCATGCTTTTGACTTCTGTCGAACAGTCTTCATTGCTATTTATCATGGAGCCTGGATATTTAAAGTCTGTGACATTTTCAGGTTCATCACCTTTTAAATATTATTTTTGGTTGGGTGACAGCCAGTTTTTGTCTCTGGACATTATTTTTGTTGTCTCCAAACTCAAGAAAAGGTTTTGATCTTCCAGCTAAATATGCTAGCCAATAATTTGTAAAATACAGTTGTATTTTAGTACACTTTTGCTTTGGTATACATTCAACTTGGTATACATTCAACTTGGTATACATTCAACTTGGTATACATTGGTTGAATATTTTGAAATGCTTCTAAATAGACCAGGCCCAGAGGTTCCCCCAGATATCCAGCCTTTAGAAATGGAACTGGATATCAACTGTGAGATACCATCCAAAGAGGAAATTAGAAAAGCTATAAATCTTCAAGGAAGGAAAGGCGACAGGCCCAGATGGTATCCCAGCTGAAGCCATCAGGACCAACATAAACACATCAACAGAATTGCTACATAGATTATTCAGTAAAGTCTAAGAGACCGAAGAAATACCAGCAGACTGGAGAGAAGGATATCTTGTGAAACTGCCCAAAAAAGGTGATCTACAGGAGTGTGAAAACTATTAAGGAATTATGTTGCTGTCAGTTCCTGGAAAAATATTAAGTAGAATTATTTTGGAAAGATTAAAAGATGCTATTGATAAAATGCTAAGAGATGAGCAGGCAGGTTTTCGGTCAAACAGATCCTGTACTGATCAGATAGCCACATTACGTATTATAATAGAGCAAAGCATTGAACTGAACTCACCACTTTACATTGGATTTATAGACTATGAAAAAGCATTTGACAGCATAGATAGGGAATCTCTCTGGAAATTGATGGGGCACTATGGAATCCTACAGAAAATTATCAACTTAGTAAAGGCAACATATAAAGACATGAAATGTCGAGTTCTTCATGAGGGAAAGCTAACAGATGCATTTGAAATAAAAACAGGTGTGCGACAGGGATGTCTTTTGTCTCTTATTTTTACTGGCTATAGACTGGACTATGAAAACAGTAACTGCTAACACCAAGAATGGAATTCAGTGGACCCCTACAAAACAGCTTGATGATCTGGACTTTGCTGATGATATTGCCCTTCTGTCCCATTCACGGAATCAGATGCAAGATAAATTAAATATACTTAATGCGAGATCACAGCAGCTTGGTCTGAAAATCCATAAAGGAAAGACAAAGATAATGAGAATAAATCAGGCAAATAGTAGTGTGGTTTCTCTTAATGACACCCCACTCCAAGACGTGGAGTCGTACACCTATTTAGGCAGTAATGTAGATAAAGATGGAGGAACTGATAGAGATATTAAAATAAGAATACAAAAGGCAAGAGGGGCTTTCATAGCACTAGGGAATTTGTGGAGGTCAAAAGAAATTAAAAGAAATACTAAACTAAAAAATTTTAATTCTAAAGTCAAATCAGTACTATTGTATGGGGCGGAAACATGGAGAACAACCAAGGCAATTACTAATACATTACAGACATTCATTAACAGGTGCCTGCGCAGAAAAGAGGGAATAAAATGGTATGATAGAATAACTAATGTAGAACTTTGGGAGAGAACTAAGCAGGCTCCAGTGGACCAGGAAGTGAGGAAAAGACGCTGGCGTTGGATAGGGCACACACTGAGAAAACAGGAGAACAGCATAACTAGAATGTCTTTGCATTGGAACCCACAGGGGCATAGGAATAAAGGAAGGCCAAAAAACACATGGAGAAGAGAGCTGGAGAACGAGGTTAGAAAGATTGGGAGGACATGGGGAGAGCTCCATGCAATGGCGAAGGATAGAACGACTTGGCGTGAGTTGGTTGAGGGCCTATGCTCCATTTGGGGATAGAAAGGCAGAAGAAAAATTACTTTAGTATCACCCCAACAAAGCCCAAAAAGCCATAATAGCATTGTCTGGAATGACCACTGTCCCATTTCTGAAACATCCTGGGGAGAAGGCAGATGCAAAGTTCTTTAGACACATTTTTGTAAAAGTCAAGCCTGATGAGCCTCAACCAGGTCCAAGTTTGGAACAGAGACAGAAAAAACCCACCAGCATTTCAGATTCCTCAGGTTTTATTGGAAGGGGCCTCACCTTTGAAACACTAACACCTTCTTCACATCCCTTCTAAGCACCACGCAAGTAGGGGCACTCGACTCTTCCCATGAAGGTCAGGTGAGGTTACATTTTCCTTTATTTCATTGAATTGCATTTGTAATTTAGTACCATGCAGTATATCAATTATTTTATATCACTGCACAAATATATAATATATCAATAATAATAGTAGGATTTTTCATGCAAACAGTTAATTCTCCCTTTCTAAATTTGGACTGGTATGTTATGTTTGGTCTACATCCAATGATCAAGAATGGATAAAGTATGTACACCGAGGTATCACTATACAGTGTTTGTGGTCTCATTGTTAAAATTCACAATGCTTGGAAAATTATCTTTGCACTGTTTTATTAAAAAAATCTTTTAACTGACATAATTAACTGTCTTACTCTCTTGGCATTTATTTAGATGACCTTTTTCTCACTCATTCCCTCTCCCCTTCTGTGTATGTATGTGTGCACACTCATGCACATGACTGTGTGTCTGTGCGCGTTTGTGTGTATGAGTAAGTAAGTTAGTTTATGCCTTCGAGTTACATTAATATATCATCATTTGTTAGTTTATCCCTTCGAGTTACATTAATATATCATCATTTGTTAGTTTATCCCTTCGAGTTACATTAATATATCATCATTTGTTAGTTTATCCCTTCGAGTTACATTAATATATCATCATTTGTTAGTTTATCCCTTCGAGTTGCATTAATATATCATCATTTGTTAGTTTATCCCTTCGAGTTACATTAATATATCATCATTTGTTAGTTTATCCCTTCGAGTTACATTAATATATCATCATTTGTTAGTTTATCCCTTCGAGTTACATTAATATATCATCATTTGTTAGTTTATCCCTTCGAGTTGCATTAATATATCATCATTTGTTAGTTTATCCCTTCGAGTTACATTAATATATCATTTGTTAGTTTATCCCTTCGAGTTACATTAATATATCATCATTTGTTAGTTTATCCCTTCAAGTTGCAATCTAATTCTAACACAGAAAATATCTAGCAGTCAAATACAGTACATGTCCTGGCCAAAGTCTCTTACTCTAATGTCTTAACACAACTTTTCTACTCTAATGTCTTAACACAACTCTTCTACTCTAATGTCTTAACACAACTCTTCTACTCTAATGTCTTAACACAACTCTTCTACTCTAATGTCTTAACACAACTCTTCTACTCTAATGTCTAACACAAGTCTTATAGCTAACACAACTACCCTCTTCTAGAGTCTCATAGAAACTGTCCTATTCTACGGTCTCACACAAATATCCTGGCTAACACAACTGTCGTCTTCTAGGGTCTCACAGAAACTCCCCTCAAACCCCAGTTCAAAGTCGTTTTGTCCTCTTCGTGCTCAACGCTGGTCTGTCAAAACATTGTGAACATGTGAGCAGTTATCCCACCTGGTCACGGCATTCAGTTGGCTGTCTTTGTGTGTTGTCAAACACCAGGTCATATCGCGGTCAAATGAGTGCTACCCTGCTTATTTATCATTATAATTTCTGGACATCTCATAGCTGCACCTGACCCTGACAGACATGGAATGACAATAGCCATTACTGCTCATCAAGCAATGGATCGCAAACTGTTCCTCCCCTACAGCTTAACAGCAGAAGTGAAAACTGGTGATGATGATGATGATCAAATTTACATAGACTTCCTAAAAGGATGACAAGTATTACTTACTCAGTGGTCAATTTGCCAAGCATAAGAAGTGCAAGGAGCACAATCCTGGCTAATGCGTAGATTAGCTGGAAGATTATAGCAATTGCCATGGGATAGTTGCAGTTGGAAACTGGCGCCGCATATCCAGAATAATACAATAGACAAAGTCCTAGATGATTGTCCTTTAAATGTAAACAAATTGGTGTGATTATACTTGCTGTAAATGTAAACATATTCATGTGATTATACTTGCTGTAAATGTAAACAAATTCATTTGATTATACTTGCTGTAAATGTAAACATATTCATGTGATTATACTTGCTGTAAATGTAAACATATTCATGTGATTATACTTGCTGTAAATCTAAACAAATTCATGTGATTATACTTGCTGTAAATGTAAACATATTCATGTGATTATACTTGCTGTAAATCTAAACAAATTCATGTGATTATACTTGCTGTAAATGTAAACATATTCATGTGATTATACTTGCTGTAAATGTAAACATATTCATGTGATTATACTTGCTGTAAATATAAACGAATTCATATGATTATACTTGCTGTAAATGTAAACGAATTCATATGATTATACTTGCTGTAAATGTAAACGAATTCATATGATTATACTTGCTGTAAATGTAAACAAATTCATATGATTATACTTGCTGTAAATGTAAACAAATTCATATGATTATACTTGCTGTAAATGTAAACAAATTCATATGATTATACTTGCTGTAAATGTAAACGAATTCATATGATTATACTTGCTGTAAATGTAAAAATAAATCATACTGTTCCGATGGCACCAGTAACTGTCTAATTGCTTTTCCCTTGAGTGTTGAACGTCAGCCAGATCTCCTGGTAACTCCTCGCTGCGCTTTTCTCCGTAGACCTGCTATTCTCCTTAGACCGTAATGATCTGTTTGTGCCTCCACACTGTTCACTCACTCCCGATTGGCTCTCACAAAATCTAACTTGTCATACATCAATTCATCTTCAAGTGGTGATGCAGAACCAACCAGTTTATCTGCCTGCTCATTTCCAAACACACCGGCGTAAACAGTTATAAATGTGGACCATCTGGTTAGCGGGTGGGGTGGCGCCAGGGGTATGGACTCCTTTAGGACATCCCCTTCCTCTTCCCTAGCAAGCAGGCCATACTAGGGTGACCATTTACTTCCTGTATTTAAAAAATATTTTCTATGGATTGTGTACTTAATAATAAAAAGAAAAATCATTGCCGGATCTACGGAGTGCGTGCTCTATACTTGATACCACCTTCAGGTGGCAACGAAGAGAGTGGAAAGACGAGAAGACAAGAAAGAGATATAAAAATATGAATACAATAAGCAAGAGGGGTTTTGTAGCATTAGCAAATTTGTTGAATTCAAAAGTACTACCAAACTTGCAATATTTAGCTGTAATGTCAAATCAGTACTGTTGTATGAAGCTGAATTAAACACCCAAAACAAAAACAAAAATACCTAATAAAGTGCAAATATTCATTCAAGTGGTGCCTGCACAGAACAGAGGGAATTCAATAGTATGACAGAATCCCTAATGTGGAGCTCTGGGAGAGAACTAAAGTTCTAATGAACTAAGAGAGGAGTAAAGATGCCAACAACATTCTCTTCCAACCATGATGATCTATTTGTGCTTCTACATTCTTTTTTCACCTAGGTCAGTGATAGTGTTTTTAAACTATATATTCTAGGAAGGCTAACCCGGTCAACAAATGCCCTCAGAAGTCGGATGTGTTGGCCGAAAGGTGCAAATATTGCAGCCATGCTGTAAACGGAAACAATGCACTTACATCTTCGGATAAACACAGAAGAAGAAGAAGAAACTATAGATTCAGAAAACAGTTGGTAGATGACTGCCACCAAACTAGCATTGTTATGCTTTTTTCAGTACTGCATGTGCAGGCTGCTGGTTTTGTGATGGCTGCTGTTTCCTTCGATAATGAATTGCAGTTTTAATGGTTAATAGTTTATACTGACATTCAAGTGGCTGCTTTACACCTTTTCTGGATTACTGCTTGTCAGATATTACACATGGGACAGTGACGAATATTTTTTATGTTTTTGTGTGTGTATGCGTATGGACACAAAATAGAGCAAATATGAGGTGAACCACAATTAGGGACTGACCAAAGTCTTGTAAAAGCAGTAAATAAATTGCAGCAAACTCACCTTGAAAACTCCGATGCCAACAAATATGAAAAAACTGAAGAAAACCAGTATACAGTAGACAACCAGTCTCAACCTCACGACCAGGTTTTCTGTCAGCATATCCAACACAGCCATGATTGATGAAGGTTAATCAAATGAGCAGAATGACCAGGTGTTGAATACAAGCCGATTCCAAATTCTGGCGAAAACAAAACTCCACAAATCAGTCTTATGTCAGGTTTTGCTGATTGCATTTGGTTGCTTAAAATTTATATTTACACAGCAAAACTGTGGAAGGAGACAAAAGATGACGCTCATATTATATATACACAAACACACACACAAAATAGTTACATACAGCAAATGTAAAATATTTCATTTTCCATATGTTACATGTCTGTAGCGATAAAATGTCCAACCTCATCATAAGTAACAACTACTTTCTGGTGAATGAAATAAACAAACCACTACTGACTTGTGTATGAAACTCTAATGTTAGCTACTTTCTGGTGAATGAAACAAACTAACCAAAACTGTCTTGTATATGAAACTCTAATGTTAGCTACTTTCTGGTATATGAAAAAAACTAACCAATACTGTCTTGTGTATGAAACTCTAATGTTAGCTACTTTCTGGTGAATGAAACAAACTAACCAAAACTGTCTTGTGTATGAAACTCTAATGTTAGCTACTTTCTGGTATATGAAAAAAACTAACCAATACTGTCTTGTGTATGAAACTCTAATGTTGGCTACTTTCTGGTGAATGAAACAAACTAACCAATATTGTCTTGTGTATGAAACTCTATTGTTAGTTACTTTCTGGTGAATGAGACAAACTAACCAATACTGTCTTGTGTATGAAACTCTAATGTTAGCTACTTTCTAGTGAATGAAACAAACTAACCAATACTGTCTTGTGTATGAAACTCTAATGTTAGCTACTTTCTAGTGAATGAAACAAACTAACCAATACTGTCTTGTGTATGAAACTCTAATGTTGGTTACTTTCTGGTGAATGAGACAAACTAACCAATACTGTCTTGTGTATGAAACTCTAATGTTAGCTACTTTCTGGTGAATGAGACAAACTAACCAATACTGTCTTGTGTATGAAACTCTAATGTTGGTTACTTTCTGGTGAATGAGACAAACTAACCAATACTGTCTTGTGTATGAAACTCTAATGTTAGCTACTTTCTGGTGAATGAAACAAACTAACCAATACTGTCTTGTGTATGAAACTCTAATGTTAGTTACTTTCTGGTGAATGAAACAAACTAACAAACACTGTCTTGTGCATGAAACTCTAATGTTGGTTACTTTCTGGTGAATTAAACAAACTAACCAATACTGTCTTGTGTATGAAACTCTAATGTTAGCTACTTTCTGGTGAATGAGACAAACTAACCAATACTGTCTTGTGCATGAAACTCTTAGCTACTTTCTGGTGAATGAAACAAACTAACCAATACTGTCTTGTGTATGAAATTCTAATGTTAGTTACTTTCTGGTGAATGAGACAAACTAACCAATACTGTCTTGTGTATGAAACTCTAATGTTGGTTACTTTCTGGTGAATGAGACAAACTAACCAATACTGTCTTGTGTATGAAACTCTAATGTTGGTTACTTTCTGGTGAATGAAACAAACTAACCAATACTGTCTTGTGTATGAAACTCTAATGTTAGCTACTTTCTAGTGAATGAAACAAACTAACCAATACTGTCTTGTGTATGAAACTCTAATGTTAGTTACTTTCTGGTGAATGAGACAAACTAACCAATACTGTCTTGTGTATGAAACTCTAATGTTAGCTACTTTCTGGTGAATGAAACAAACTAACCAATACTGTCGTGTGTATAAAACTCTAATGTTAGCTACTTTCTGGTGAATGAGACAAACTAACCAATACTGTCACTACGCAAAAAATTTTTATTTTTTTATTTATAGACTTAGAGCAGTTATTTTATAATGGCAATTTGTAGGGATACATTTTATTTCATTTGTATACTATAAGTGTTAAAAAATCATAGTTGTCATGGCAATAGTCGCCATCTTGTGAAAAAAACAATATGTACTTAGAATCCTTAAATTTTAAAAGCAAACATAGGTATTCAACAATAGATAATAGATCCATGACCTTTTGTCCTATTTAGAGATACTGGTCTAGTTTATTTACTTTAAACATGTTTTTAAATATTTTTCGTAGAATTTTAAAATGTAGGTTTATTGAAAAAGTCAAACAAATCTAGCATCATAAGACAATAATCAAATTTTAGAAACAAAAACTTTCTAAAATCTACTTTTAGATAGACCAGTCCCTATAATATTGTCTATGAAGTAGGCATACAAAATTTGATGATTCTACTGTTCATATTAGCTTAGATTTTAGGATTTCACACACACAGCAAACTAAAATATAAAGATTTGAGAAAACTGACTTTTAAACTTTTCTTTTATCTTTAAAAAGTGCACGAGGTGGTGTCATTAGTATTAACTTTTCAATGCTAAATTGTTTACAAACGACATAAATTTTTTGTGTCATCTATTGTACGAATGCCGAACTTTACAAAAACGAACACATTGAAAAAGTGATATTTTTGTCATAAATTGGGAAAAATGCCGTGTAGTGACCCCTTAATACCTACTGTCTAGTGTAGGAAATATATTAATACCTACTGTCTAGTGTAGGAAATATATTAATACCTACTGTCTAGTGTAGGAAATATATTAATACCTACTGTCTAGTGTAGGAAATATATTAATACCTACTGTCTAGTGTAGGAAATATATTAATACCTACTGTCTAGTGTAGGAAATATATTAATACCTACTGTCTAGTGTAGGAAATATATTAATACCTACTGTCTAGTGTAGGAAATATATTAATACCTACTGTCTAGTGTAGGAAATATATTAATACCTACTGTCTAGTGTAGGAAATAATATTAATACCTACTGTCTAGTGTAGGAAATATATTAATACCTACTGTCTAGTGTAGGAAATATATTAATACCTACTGTCTAGTGTAGGACATATATTAATACCTACTGTCTTTTGTTTCAAACATGCTAACAACTGCAGTCTAGTACAATAATCTCTAATCTTTTTCCAGAAGGTGAACCCCCAGCACCCTCTTCCGCAAGTATATAGCAAGACTACTCACACCCTCCATCCCCTCTCCCAACATAGCAAAATGTGATTAAAATGAGGAGGACAGAAAGAAACATCCCAAACATTATTGAAAAGAACTTGGAGAAAAACATCCACTGTATGAAACATATTAACATCTACAGCTGAATTTAATTATGTATGTTTTTCTCTGTAGACAAAGCCAAAGCATCTCTAATTACTGTGTGTTTACAGATGACTTCAAAAGTTAAGATCTGAAATTATTCTACTTAGCAGCTATCTTAAGATTCATTCACTCTAATGTAAGCGCCAGTGGGTACATATTCACATACTGATCCTTTGTTATTAGGTAATTATTGCTCATATGACATCAAGCAGTAGATTTTCACACAGTGTGTTATATCAAATCATCTTGAACTTTTCAGCACCATTTATTTCTAACTTTGGTATAGTACTGATGGCATGTCTGTGTTTTTCCAAGGTTTACTGGTTCAGCTGTGTATTCGTTGATGTCTATGCTTGTGTTCAGCTGTTATTTGATCCTAGATTCCCTTGGAGTGGTTGGTGCAACATAACTAGGCTCTTTCTCGCGTTGCCATGTCTTCTCTTACTGTGTTCTCATTGTCTTATTTTTTAACATTACTTTTCTCTGTGTAATTTGATTTACTTAAGGTTAATATATACCTTCCGCTAACGACGTGTAAGGGTGTGCTAAGGCGCTTGACACTGCAGCTAGCAGTTTTAAGGTAGGCTAGGTTCTCTTTTGGAGAGATGAAAAAATAAAATTTAAGTAGCCTGCCAATGACCCATAGAGCACCCAGGTCAATCCCACCTCCTACTGGTGTACGCAGGAAATCTGAAGCAGCGAGATTTTAGGCTAACGGAGCAATGGCTCGCCTGGAAGGAGACGGGCATCAACCAGGTCAGAATTTTCCCTGCCCCGCCATGTAACGGGCCTAGCAAGTCGGCAGTGGTATATTCAATTGCTACCTACACAAGAAACATTGAACTATTATAGAACAAACCACGACACTGGGCTGCTACCTGGTATCAGTGAGACGACACAAGAGAGAAGAAGATGATGATTCCACTGACTAATGATCATTGTCTTCTCCAGTGTTTATCCTTTTACTGACAACCAAATTGCCTCTGTGGCCATCTTTACCGGCAATTCACTAAACACTGGCTATGACCTTGGAGCAACTACCAAGTACAGCTTCTTTACATATGTGAAGCTAAAGTTCCTGCCAGACGCAGCCTAATCTGTAGTCCTATGGGGGTCAGGACGTCATAAACTGCATACATCCTGCCCCCATTTATATTATATGTATTAAATAGTGTTTCTGCATCGATATCAAGGGTGACGAAATTGAGACTTGGGGGGGGGGGGGTGGTGGACGGCAAGCCAAACCTCTGACGCGTGATCTCATTCTGTTTTCAAATGAAGAGTTCAAATTTCCTGCTTGAAATGTTACACTTTGACAGCTGAGCTAGGAGTGACATCTGTGATAGTGTAGGTGGCGTCTGTTACCTTCAGGCCGGTTAGTATCGACGTTTTTTGTAATACAACAGTTGTCATCGTTTAGTTGTATGTTTTCTTATCGCAAGTGTATTGGACGAGGGTTGTTCGGAAAGTCTATTCCCAGTGTGGGTTTCGGGGCCAAATTTTGAAGCTGAAATAATCCCACTGCCCTCTTTAAAAAAAAAAAAAAAACATTTCGTAAAAAGCGATTAATTAGGGATTTGTCGAAATCGTATGTGTTAAGCCAAAAGGCTCTGATATCGCAGCAGAGTTGTACATCACAGTGAGCGGTTCTTTCAACGGGTTTGAGTTTTTGAACTGATCAACATCATTGCACACGGGTAGTAACCGTCTGAGTCCGAAAAATCTCAGCACAGTGGCTCTGTAGCACCAGCGAGGATCCTAAAATACTTTGGGTAGATTTTAAACTCAAAATTGTGCACAGGCAGCGCCGTTAGGCTACTTATTTAAAATTAT